TAATTTCCACAGTCACTGTCAAGTTAACTACTTTTATAAACACACGCTATTATTCACAACGATTCAAGCACTTTACTTTCGGTGCCTACAGCTCGGTTGACTCAATTATCTCTCTCTATATCTGTGTATCTGCCATTATTCTCCGTTTTATTTGCCGGGCGTATATATTAAGATAGAGGGCGCCTAGAAAAGACTAGAGTTGCCAGGAAAAGTCATGGTGCTTCTAGAAACTCGTGACGTGTTACCAGCATCACGTGACTTCCGCTGTCGTAACAATAATATTGATCTAAGTGTAGATAATCTATAACCTTGTACAAGTGGAACTTCACATCTTATTGATAGGCCTACCATGGCATAGCATCACACAAGTAAAAAAAGAACGGAATCTGCCTGGGGGACATGGGGAGGGGACACCTAAGCCCTCAGCGGAGTCAAATTTCTTTCAAAGGAATGTATTATGATAGGATATATTTTCTGTTACTTGAAATTAAAAGATAAAAGTTTAATAAAATATCACACATGTACTTATTTTTAAATAGTGGATTTAATGATGGATATCAAAGAGTTCCAAATAAATCTCTGGATATGAAACACTATACTTTGAGCATATGGTCAAAAGTGATATTACCAAAAGTATTAGTATGAGGAAAAGATGGGTAAATTTAATAATCAAATTCACCAGGTGATTATTATTGACATGTTTGTTTTAAGGCTCTGGACCAAATAATAATGGCAATCCGTGATAGGTTTGAACAGACTGATCTTAAAATATATGTCCATTGTGAACAGAAGTATGGCCAAAAATTACCACAGGCATCAAAATTCTGCATGTTAAAATTCACAAAGTCTGAATTAGACAAAGTCTTGAGATTTTTCTGTGAATTTTCCTGAAGAAAAAGATGTTAAAATACGATAAATATTTGATTATATTCAAAACCTTAGTGAATCTGACAAAGAACTGATTCATTCAGTAGTAACATTGGCTAACATAGTTCTCATAATGTCAGCAAATAATGCAACTAGTGAGCATTCTCACAGCACTTTAAGGACAATAAAAAAACTACTTGAAGTCTATTGTGTCTCAATCTCGTTTGAATCATGTAAAGATGTTGAATATATATATATAAGCCAACTCCTTGTCTCTTATTGAAACAGCCAATGAATTTGTATTACATTTACCACATCGTTTGAAACTATTTGGAAAATTTATAGATTTAAACCTAGCAGGATCATCAGTTTTGAAGTAAGACAGGGCCACTATTACCGAGTGATTTTGAATGATATTGACTTCAGTGCTTAACTAAATGTTCTAGACTAAGTTAAAACGGTTGTAGCAGTATCTTGTGTCTAAAAAGGTATCTATCTATCCATCATATCCTCAAGTTAATGTTTAGCTCTATGTTACATACAACAAAGTAATCATAATAATACTTTTGGTAATACCACTTTTGACCATATGCTCAAAATTATCTTGTAACTTACTACCAGTACTTTATATTTGTATGCAGTATTTCATATCCAGAGATTTGTTTGAACTCTTTTATATCTATTTATTTAAAAATAAGTACATGTGTGGTATTATATCTATTTAT